TGTGTTTGAGAAACACAATCAATTCATGTCCCCTTGTAATTTGATGAATGTTCATTAAATTATAAAATCCAATAATCCTTGCTGCCAAGTTTTTATTCTATCAAATCTCTGGTGATGCAGGATCAGTGGATTCATGGGAAAGTGTCATTTTTTCTTGTCAAAGTATTTAGTGGCTCATGTTTTCTAACTAAAAAGAGGGTTTTAGATTTCTCTCAGTCTGCATCCTCTTTTAGTGCTTCCTAAATAGATCTGCTATAGAGTGTAAACATTTGTACAATGAACTCTTTCATAAATGGAAATGCTCAATTTTGTTTATGATTTATTTTTTAAAAATTTATATTTTCACCCATTTTTTCGAAAATTTTTTAAACAGATTTCAAATTTTAAAATTTCTCCTTTTCAGCTATACTTTAATCAATTGCATTCTTCTCTAATCACGCGTCACAAACCCCATTCATTTCACTTCAAGCCCAATACTACAGCTTTGAGAATTTGGCAGCTACCTGGAATCACAGCTGGGATAAATGCCAAATTCTCAAATGTAAACATTTTTAGGATGGACAGCTGGGCACCATGACGATGGTTTTTTTAAACAGAAATTTGTTGTGGTTTGACTGCCAGAACTTCATTTTACCTGAGTGCAGATCGTATCTAGATCGATATCGTTGGTATAAATCTTCAGAAAATCTCACCGTGATTTGAGGTTTTTTTTTACAACTGAGGACATTAAACACGTTCAGCAACATGGAGACCCCTGCTCTTCTCTCTGGAAAACAAGGTGATGTTTAAAGTATATAAAAAATAACAAGAATGCAAATTCAGAGTTAAATTTTAGGGAACCAAATGTTGCAGAAATGTTATCTTATATTAAATGTATAGTGGAGGATTTTATTTTTCAAGGTGGATCATTAAAGTTAGTGGTCCTCCTAATTGTTGATCATTCTGGTGATATGTTTAAGTTGGGCCGTCCTGCGTGCTCAAACCCATTTCCAACTATTTTCAGTCTAACATAGTGGAAAAATTGCAAATCTTCTTTTGGAAAGTGAGCTTGTATGAGGGATGCAAACTTTTAAACAGAGCAGAAATGGGCTTGTGCACGCTCTCGCATGTGTTAAATAGTTGTTCCCCCTTGCGTTCAGGGTTGTGCATTTGCATTTGTTTTTTTTAAGTGTAGAGGGCAGGTCTTTTAAAAAATATGCAA